AAATTACATTACAGCTTTCAAACAGGGTCAGAATTGCATAGTGCATCAAGGCATGTATAATTTGAACAGAATCCTGAGTTCTGTTGCTCTAATACGAGCTATATATGGAAAGTATAAAATTTTGAAAATCTCGTTAAAATAAATTGGTCTCATCCATATTCGGCTAAAAGTTATTATGTCTGAAATTTTATTAACTGTACGCATAATTTGAGCGCGCTACAAATAGTACAAATTTCATAACTATAAGCTGCGTTAAGAGCATATAATCTTAGAAAATCTTATTAGAGCAGATAGATTTTGTTAATTGACATGATTTTGCAATTTTTCAATAATATAATTAAGTGATATTTTTGATTCAAACGGGAATAATTTTCCACAGACCGAAAAGTGGTTCAACTATTTTGGTATTAACTTTGTTGATGCCAAAAGTCTAGTCAGAAATGTAATGTTGATTCAAGGTTGATTCAATGTCGATTTAATATGGTTGACAGCTGGTTGAATCGATAAGAAAATTGATATTCCTGCAATACCGACATAGTTGATTTGTATCGTTAAAAAACTGACGTCGACATTGGACGGTATTTATAGTCGATTTTTTTATTGTATTTAAAATTGTCTTAAGTACAAGTTTTAAGATGTCACGAACCAATCAGAGGATCTATCCATATTAGCATCTTCAGATATTACTTAAGACAGTTTTAAAGTAAGAACGGATTATGAATATTGCCTATTAATTCAATGTCGAATCAACTGTTTGGAACTGTTTTGATTGCAAAATTTGATTAGCTCTTAGATTATATCTTAAAAGTATTATAACATATATTGTTTATATAAATATTTTACAAATTTATGGACATTTAGGAAATCGTACGTATAAAGCCTTACAATTAAATTGTGTCCATGATGCTTACAAAAATCGCTTGAAGTGATACGCTCCTGGATCGTATCGTGGCATCACAGAGCTGCGAACTACTTGCTCACTCATGCTCTCCTGATCACGAGAGCCTCCAAGAGAGCCTATCCCAACCAAGTCGATACAGAATACGGGGTAGTCTTATATTCATACCTCTCTCTCTCCCGTTGCCGCACGTCATCTGGAGTGTGGCATTCTAGGATCGCGATTGGAGAGACTCAAGGATACGCATTGCAAAGGATCTATATAGCGAGCCTCGAAGGAATCGTTAAGGTTACTAGCGTCATTCTATGACGGCGAATCCGGATCCATTGATCGTATCCTGAGAGAATTCGAATCTGTGACGCAACCCGGGAAGCAGGGAGCAATTTTTAGATTATACAGAGTGTCTTGGAACCAAAAGCTCCTGTTAATTTTTCTAGACATTTTTTTCAAACGTCGAAACTATTATTTAATATATCATTTTTAATACTAATAATATATATTTTATACAACTAAGCTTCCTATTAATTTTCTATCAAATTCGCATAAAATTTATTGACAATTTTATGACTCTCTCATTTCTTACCTAAAGCTTAGAGATCCTTTCTAAAATAATTATTCGTAATTATGAAAATTTAATTATTATTTATAAAATGAAAATTTTATTTATATTTATAAATTATATTATTATTTCTAATTATTCGAAGGTTAAATTATACGTTTTTGCTGAGGACAAATTGACTCCAAGTGAATTAAAGCTTAGTGAAAAAGGCATCCGATAATATCGGAACACTCTGTACAACCCAGATTCTTTTCTTTCGTTCTAGACGTTCATCAGGCAAAGATGGTCTTTCGATTCTTTCCTTTTCTTCTCTTTTTCCATCATTCACACTACCAATTACGACGGGAAGATTATCCAGGAATTCCTTATCCTCTTTCTCATTCGAGACATGAGCAACCGATTATATACAGAACAGGAAATCAACCAAAAGCATTCAACAATACGTCAATCTTTCTATAGTTATTATTACTTGATTAATGTAAGTTTATAATACGTAACTATACTTCCTTTTTCTCATATAATGATTTCGAGTAAAATTGAATGTTGCAAATCAAAATAATATTAAAAAAAAAATTCGTTATATTTTTAAATAAATTTTTAATAAACGTGTTACCGATTATGTATACTAAGTTGACAATGAGACATTTTCATCCGCGCTATTTTATTTATGTTACTTCTTTTGCTACATTTTTTTCGAATTCTTTAAGCAATTTATCGATCCGTTTCACGCACTCGGCAGAATTTTTGTGATCAATATCGTAAACCTAAACAAGTGCAATTAAATTATTAGAATATAAGCCGCACTTTTTTGAACATACTATATAAGAGAAACTTTACTTTTTTCGTAAAATCGCTTTTTAGTCTTTTATCTTGGAATATCATTTTCTCGCCGGTTCTCAAATTGTCAAAAACTTTTAATCGCAATGGTCCAAATTTCTTTTGGAATTTTTTAACGTCGCCCACACATTCCGATTCCAGATTTTGTATTTCGGCGTGAATTTTTCGTTCGTCTGAACCTAATTGATCCACTTTCTTATTGAACTTCTTAATGTCATTGTATACATTCTTGTAATCTTTCCTCGTTTTCGCTCGTATTTCTTCAGTAAGCTAAACATTACATGGGAAACGATTTAACTTCACGATATACGTCCAACAAATTCTTTTACTTTGTGCGAGAGAGATTTAACATTAATTGACGTATACATCTTATAAAGAGATAAAATGCATTAATCACCTTTTCTATTCCGGTGTTAACTACATTTTTTAGCTGATTTGACGCGTTTGGATATTTATTAAATGTCTCGTTAACCCGCGTCTGATTAGTTTTAATCCACGTGTCGATCTTGGCGTCAACTTTGTCATCATCATAATCCATCAAGAACGTATCCTCGTTCCTAACATTATCTTGCACTCTCGCCAACACTTCGGAACTCCAATGTAAAACACGATCTCTCTCTTCCAGGAGACCTACCCACGTTTCAGGCATTCTGCCCATAGTTTGTCCCATTTTGTTAAGCTAATAGTAGAAAATGAAAATGGCGAAATATGCTCGTATATTTTAACATAAGGCAATATATTTTTTAATTTAAAATATAAATAAAATAATTGAAAATAGAAATTTTAAGTATACGCAAAAATTAGATTGCCATATTTCGTTACCTAATTCGTGATTTTTTACAGGAAACTGTAAAAAAATCAAGCCATTTCCGTTTTAAGTACTGGATTTTTTTTCGTGTCCGTCACATTACCTTTTATTTTTTATCCCTCGAAAATTTTAAATAAATCTTTTAATGAATTTATTATTAAATTTTTTGAGAAGAATTTTCGCAACCGAAATAATATTTGGTTCGACGGATTGGTAACGAGGAATTTAAGAGGATCTTTATACTGTTAACTGAAAATTTTGACAGCTAGAAATGTTAGCGATTGCAATTTGATTAGAAAAACCTATTTGACGTTTTCCCCGCTCCGCTGCACCAAATATTGTGTTCTTTTGTTCGTCGTCTGTTTTTGTACATACATACAGTGAAATTTAAATGTCGACAAACTTGAAATACCATTTACAACGATATTTAAATAAATATTAAAGAAATACATTTTTCTCAATTATTTTCTATATGTATTTACTAAATGTTATTCAGCACGATGTGCGAAGTAAGGGAATTTTTATTTCTTCGTAATTATATACATTTACAAAAATCACATCGTTACTATTTCGAGCGCATTACATTTCGAATAACGTTCAAGCGATTATCTTTTTTTCTCCTTTTTTGAGTAATCATCTCGGTTCGTTATTGCAACGGTTCGTTTTGTCGTAACGTCTCGTACGATGGCGCCGCGCGGCGGCGGCACCGCGACGCTCGCGAGAGGCGCTATTGATAAATTCTCTTCCGCGTACGGAAAATACCGCGTTGTCGCGACCGCGTGGAATGAAATTATGCGGAAAACGAGCCGTTCGCGTCTTTCACAGCCGGATGAATGCGCGTCGTGGGGGCTCGTTTGTTCGCGAGAACGAGGAGCTGCGCGCGGTTGTAACGCGCGAATAGCGAGGTGTCGGCGCTTCACATCGAGCGCCATTTTGCCCCGTTTGTTCGCGGCCGACTCCTCACCGCGCGTGGAAAAAGGAACTGGGACGGATGTCCGCCTGTCGGCAGAGCCCGCGGGATTGAATCGCGGCACCCAAGACCCACTCGTCGAGGTGTCAATTCAAAGCGGCGTAATCTCCGCTCGGCGCGGCCAATAATCGGCTTATTGATTTTGATTTGTGCCGCGCGTAACGTGAAACGTCCGCACCTGACCGAACCACGCGCGCGTGCTAAAAACGCTGACGAAGAAATAGTATTTTCATCGGCGAAATAACGCGGATTTTCTAATTGTTGCAGTTCAATAAAATCCAATCCGTCGTAAAAGTAATAAATAGAGAACAAAGTAATACTCAAATGAAATTTTTCTACACTGAAAAAAATTTACCAAATCTCAATACATATTTATTTGAGTAATATACTAAGTAAACATTTTTTTTTACTTACATTAAATAAATATTTACTTAAAGAAATGATAATTAAGTCCAATGATAATTAATGATTTTTGTATCAAATAAATAAATGACATTTTGTATTTACTTAGAACTATTCAAATAAATATTTATTAAAATTTAGTTTTTTTTTTCAGTGTAACTACGAAATAATTAAGTAGATTTAATCTCTTGTTTTATTAGCGTATATACTTTTATTTACTATTATTACTACAGAATGTAGATTTGAAAAATATAACTAACAACCCTGCTCTCTAAATTTCTTGCAGTGAAATTCCACTTGAGAATGGAGTGATTACGTTGAAGTTGGAACGACTTTTCATTCATATGGAGTGAATTCTTTCAATCTGTGTTATGAATATTTTCCCTCGTAATTAAAGAATGAATCTAATACTCTACTGTTGGAAACTGCGCTACGAAAGAAGTTTGGTAAGTGAGTCATACTGATTATGATATAAGAACACAAGGGATCTGTTTTCTGTAGCTGAGCTTGTACTGCACTTTTGAAACTTAAAATGAAATATATAT